TAATCAAAACTCTAGTAGAGCCACTCATAGTTATAGAAGTAGGCCCAGAAGATAGTCATATTACAAAAGAAATTATAGCGATATAGTAAATATAGCAGAAGAAGATGATGATGATTACTACGAAGATGAAGTATCATTTCTAGTGCAGATATGATAAAAATTTTGAAATTGCGAATTGGTCCAGATATCTGCAAGCCTTGTATCGAAGGAAAATCCACAAGACTACCGTTCAAAAGCTTAGAACACCTAAGATCAACAAGAGTAGGGGAGATTCTACACATCGATTTTGGGGGTCCGATCAGTACTCTTAATAATTATAGATGACTTTTCACACTTCACTGTAATTTATTTACTAAAATCCAAAGCTGGAGCAAAAGATAATCTCATAAATTATATTCGTGAAAGGAAATATCGTAAGTAGAATAAGAACAGACAAGGGAGGAGAATTTACTAGAAAATATTTCAAAAATTGTGCTGCCCTATAGAATATACGGTCGGATATTCTCCTCAATAGAATGGAATAACAAAACTCTATTTGATAAAGTAAGAACTATGTTTGCCGAAACTAGTATGCCCAAATTTCTATGGGGTAAAAAGCTATTCGTTGTGCTGCATATTAGTTAAATAGATCGCCTTCAAATGTATTAGAAGGTAGAAATATGTCAAGGAAGACACAACCTAAGCAAATTAAAAAATTTCGGATCAAAAGCATATGCTTTATTTACTTCCAAAAGCAGACAAACTTGAGACAAGAGCTAAAGAAGCACGAATGGTAGGATATGCATGAGGATGTTATAGACTTGTCCTAAAACAAATACAATTTTCATATCAAGAGACGTAAGGTTTGATGAAAGTACAGGGTGTCCGGTAATGAATTTAATATTTCGAATCATTCTGACACCGGCCCTGAACTAAGTGGAAGGATGGGGGATTGTAGACAGATAGCGTAACCATGCGGATTTCAGTTGCGATGGTACCGTGGCCTGCAGAACAACGAGCGTTCATGATTGAATCATTTTTTAAATCAAACGATTGGTACATTGTAGCGCGTCGACGTTTTTGTGCACGTTTTGATATTCGACGTATAGCCGATGCACCGTCGGCAGCTTTAGTGCACAGTTGGGTTAGACCCTACTACAGTTCCCTGGCTATGATAACAACGGCACGTGGTTTCAACATGATGGCGCCATGGCACATACTGCAGCTATATCCATAAATGCAGTGACTGAAGTGTTTCCTGTCATGGTAATTTCCATCAATGGCGATATTCCATTTCCTCCACGCTCACCAGACCTAACGCCCCTAAATTTTTTCCTATGGGGCTACTTAAGTGTCGTCTACACGGAACCAATGCCACAAACCATCCAGCAGCTAAAGGACCGCATTACCAATGATATACGTGGCATACCCGTGGCGATGCCGTGGCGTTTTCCGCAGCTTACGCTCCAGATTAACAGCTTGCTACGAAGAAGACGGTCGGCATTTAAACGATATTCTGTTTAAACACTAAATCCGCATATCTAATAATGCTAATAAACCTGGTATATCATGTTCTGGGGGTAAATTTTATTGCGTTAAACCCTTAAATTCATTACCGGACACCCTGTAGTATTAACTATTTTGAAAATGAAATTATCACTGTTAATTATAAGAACAATCAATATAAAATCCAAGATGAAAAAGTGGATGAAGGTGAAAGTAAAACTAAAATAGAAACGATTAGAGCAATACCAAGTGGCTCAGTAGAAAGAGCTCAATTAACAAAAAAAGTACCAAGTAAATTTAACGAATTTTATTATTCAGCATACTGTCTAATAGCAAATAAAAATGATCCTGAAACATATTCGCAAGCACTAAAATTTTCTGGATGGCAAAAAGCTTTGGACAAAGAAGTGGAAACTATACATAAAAACGAAACGTGACATCCTGCAGTCTTGCCTCCAGATAAGAAGGTCATTGATAGAAAATATGTCTTCAGGACTAAGGAAAATTGCATAAAAAAGGCACGTCTAGTAGCAAAAGGCTTTTAAAAAATTCAAGAATGCAATAAATACAACAAATTCTATTCACCTGTAGCCATAATGGCTCCATGACAAAAGAGCGCAGGATAAAATGGCGCAGGACAAAATAGAGAAGGATAAAATGGTGCAAGGACAAAATGGCGCAAGGACAAAATAGCGCAGGAGAAAATGGCGCAAGGACAAAATAACGCATAATGTTTTTTAATTAATGCAATTAATTGAAATAATGCGAACCAAATACTGTTCCAACGAGCCTATTAAGATAATGTTTGAAATTTTTGAGTGATACAATTATTATTGCTGCTTTAAAAATTATGGAATGAAAATTACAAGACAAGACACACACAGCTTAATCAAACTCACTTTGATCAACAAAATTTGAGATGTTGGATTGCAAGCTAGCTTTAAGACTGATGGAAGTTGATTTTAGCCATGAGGATGAGCAAAAAATCGTTAAGGATGTTCCATATACAGAACGTATAAGGATCTTAATGCTACGACTAGTAGACCAGATATAGTGTATATTACCTCTCATCTTAGCAGAATGCTGGATAAGCCAGGAAAAAAATTTTGGACAGCCTCCAAGAGAAATCTAAGATATTTACAAAACACCAAAGCATTAAGTCTTGTTTAAATTAAGAAAATTCAAAGCTTTCTCCGATGCAGACTGGGGCGGAGACTCTAAAGATAGAAAAAGTGTATCTGGTGCTGTTGTATTTTTGGGGATCTAAGAAACATAAATGTGTTGCGTTATCTACAACTGAAGCTGAATAGGTATCCGCAGCTTCATCAGCTCAAGACCTGGTATATTTAGAAGGAATCTTAGAACATTTTCATAAACCCAGTTACTCTGTTGTTCTACTCGTAGATAAAAAAGTGGCCATATTTATGGTACAAACCTTTTAACATTCAAAAAGAACCAAACATATTTCCAAACATTTTATAAAAGATCTGGTACAAAAAAATATCATAAATATTGATTATGTCCCTTCAGAAGACAATTTAGCAGATATGTTTAATAATTATCTCTGCTAAGGAAAACTGACGCATTTCAGACATAAACTAATTTTAAAATAAATGGTACAAGATTTGACGTTTATTCTATTTGACAATCTGCATCTACAGAGTTTAAATCGAAGGAAGATGTTATGAATAAGTGTTTATGGACATGCCCAGTCATAAGTACCGGTTTTTCTTCACATAGAGTAGTTTTCCTATTATTTTTAAACATGGCCTTCCTATTCAGATCCTCTTTGGCTCTGAGGTATATCCCCAAAAAATGGAGAGAGGTTAAAATGGTATTCATACCCATATCTGGAAGGATGGATTATACTGTCCCGAAAACATACCGAACAATAGGTCCGACATTGTTTTCCATGAAAAGATTGGAAAGGCTATGCGAGAGGTACATAAAGGATACGGTGATTACAACAACACCACTACACCCAAACTAACATGCATACACTCCAGGCAGATATACTGATTCAGCCCTTCATCTAGTTGCTGGCCGGATAGAAAGATCCCTGGATAATTAGGAGTGCGCCTTGGGTGTTTTCATAGACATAGAGGGTGCTTTTATTAAAACCACCTTTCCCAAGATAATACATTCACTAACCAACAGATGGTTAGTGGATGGATACATAACATTCTTTCAAAGCGAGTAGTAAACATAAGTGCAGAAGATGTGAATATAAGAGGCTTGGTTGCGAGGGGATGTTTACAGGGAGGGGTGCTATCACCTCTACTGTAGAATATGGTCCTCGACATTTTGAGAACATACTCTGCGAAAGAATGCAAGTAGTTCTCAAACTGGTACCTAGAACAGTGGTGCAAGGACCATTCACTGTCTAAGAAGACATAAATGGTCCTTTTAATAAGGAAAAGGATGAAAATTGAATTATACTCTCCAGAACTCCTAAACACAAAACTAAACTTTGCAAAAGAGGTGAAGGTGAAGTACCTAGGTCTCACCTTTGACAGACATGACACTCTCATTTAGAAAACAGAGTCAAAAGAACATACATTGCTTATGAAGGTTTTTTTATGTACTTGTTTCGGGAGTTTCAACCAATAGTTGTGGTTTTCTGAATCTAGTCTTTTATGACACCTCGTACTGTACTTTTTTGTTACTCTATTACTCTTATTTCTTTTGACCCTCTTTTCGAAAATTCGTCAGCCTTCTCATTACCCTCGATCGTTTAATGACCTGGCACCCAAAAACTAGTTTTACTCTACTTCGGTCTGCCAGTGTTCTCAGTTCTTTGAAGGAATGTCAGTCTCGGCGTCACTTTCTGACTCGATATGGCCTAAAGGGCCGCTTTTATTTATTGCTGTTTATTTTCAGTAGCTCTCCTATTGTCTGTTCTTGCACAATGCAAAATTGCATAAACCTCAGCCTGGAATACTGAGGTATGTGTTCCTATAGAATAACTAAGGTTGGTGTTAGGGTTTTTGAAGAATATTCAAGCCCCAGTGCCTTCCGCAGTCTTCACCCGTCTGTGTACCAGATTTGTTCCTGTCGTTGGTCATGGTTATGTAATATGTTCTCATATCCAGCACGTCCCCTGTTATAATTATGTGACCTGGTCTAATGTGAAGATTTCCCAGAGTGTGTTCTTTTCTGTATCACAACACAAGGAGAAATGATGGCAAATCTATTTGTGTTTCTATTGCTGCTATGGGGGTTGTTCTCATTACCCCCGTTATTCCAAGACAGTCTTAGTATCTTAATTAGTCCCGTTATTGCCGCTCTTTCTTTTTTTTGGCCACTACACCAAAGCTGCGTATGTTATTATCGGTCTTACCACTATATTGTTAAATATACCATGCCTGGTTTCAATAGAGATATATTAAAGTAAAAGCAAGGAAAAAGTGTAATGGTAAAAAAATTGCACATTGATTTTTTAGCGCTTTAAAATATTATTTAGATAACGGTTGTTATTAAATTGCCAGTGTTCTAAAAATGAATACAGACATTACCTAACAGCCAGGGGGCGACGCTTTCGTTCTCCTTCGCACTTTTGAGAATCGTTTCCGGTAGTGGGAGCGAATGTCGAACCATTGCACCGTAGAGTCCGTACTCTGCCATGATCGTACTTCTGCCCCAACATTTTTCGGTTTTCCTCCATTTCGCCCGCCTGTTTTGGAACCAAACCTAAAAATAAAAAAAAACAATCGTTATTGTTACATAGGTGAAACAGGTAAGTACTTTAAAATAAGAACTGATGAGCATACATATCACTAAATAATACTATTATGCGTTTTATAGGAGTTTTTTTTAAAGTAAATTAAACAAATACATTTTATTTTTAATTCAGCATTTTATTAAGTCAAAAAATACCTAATTAAACAAATTTAAAAACGATTACAAAATACTGCCGAGTTGCTAATATACGTAGGAAATAATAACGAAATTATATTGCTTAATTAAAATAATGTCAGGTCATCAACCACGTAATTTAAGATTGGTTAGACTATGAAAATTGTGCAAATCGGCAATATTCAAAAAATTGGGTATCTAGATTAAACAAGGAAGTTAGTTGTAAAGCGAAAAAAGTGGACTCAAAAAGAGACTCCACTAACCTATTTCTTTTATATAATTTAAAATCCTTAAAAACTAAAAAGTCTTCGTTGTGCCATTTGGGGAAGAGTGTGACGTGCCCCAAGCCTAAGAAATGTGGTAAGTGTACCAAAACATTTTAAAAATATTGTCAAAGTAATGAGGTGTGGTTGAGTTTTAATATATTTTATCTACTCCTATTAATTTATGTATTAATTGTTCAACTGCTTTTGAGCAATTAATAGAATCAATAAACAAATAGCGTGAGTTTTAATAGTGAGTTATTATAACTCACCTTGGGTCCTACGATAATTCGGGCATATAAATAGTGTGCGCAGTAAATTCTTGGAAATTTTAAAGTCGATAAATGTTCCATTGGCGTAAAATGGTAGAAAGATTTTTTAACAACTGGAAAGGAATGAATAATAATTAAAAGATTTGAAAATTATTAAATTGTCAACGTCTCTCACTAGGCGGAACAGTCAATTATTACATTGAGGAAAGTAATGTCATTTGATATTTTAACAAAATAATTTTGACGTTTATAAATCAATTTTTAATAATAGTGATAAAAAAAGATGAATTTAGATAGTGAAGATGAGTTATTATGTACACCTCCAGAAATAAGAGAGATAGCTAATAATGCAATACAGAATTTATTACCAGAAAAATCAAATAACAAGTATAAAGGTGTATACTAAAATTTTCAAGATTGGTGTAACTCGTTTACAGAAAATGTACCTTTGGAATATTTTAATGAACTTAGCTATAAATATAAAGCATCGTCTCTATGGACTTTCTACTCCTTGCTAAGAAGCACACTCAACATAAATAATGGAATTAATATAGAAAAATATTCAAAATTACGTGCGTTTCTTAAACGTCAATTAGAAAAACATATAGCTAAAAAGGCAAAAACATTTTCGCCAGAACAACTTAATAATTTCATAAATAAAGCTTTTGATGAGAAATATCTGGCGACAAAAGTAATAGCTTTTACAAAGATTCAAACGTTTTTATCATCTAGTCAATTATATAATTCTTTCTCGATACTTGTATCTTAGTATTTATTGTTATAGTCGTAGATAAAGTATAGTATTCAACTTGCGGTAATGGTCATAACTCACGCAGATGAAATTTGCAGCACGAGCCGCAGGCGAGTGCTGTAATTCATCATTACTGCTCGTTAAATAATATACTATTATATATTTTTTTTATATTTTGTATTTTCTTTCAAAGACGAAACTGGTACAAAAAACACGACTTCGTGACAGTATTTAAGGGTGAAATTTTGAGTTTAAGGCTTAGTAGTCCAGTAACTGAAGGGACCAACCTGTCATTAAGTCGGTCCAGATTTCCGTTGTGGCTCAACTCTTAGGTCTCGGCTGAACGCTTCCAAGGTCGAAAACTTTTACCAACTCTGCTGCGTCGGAAAGGGCCCAAAATGGACCCTAAATCTGGTTTCCCGCCAATATCTTCCACAATATGCAAATTAGAGAATTATCTACAAAAATGGTCCCCATCATTTTTGTCGGGAATTCGACAGGTTTCGAGATAACCGCAATCAAAAGTCCCCTCGTTCAGCCCCTGCTTTATCTCTATAGCAATGCTGATTAGCTTGTAAACGGGTGGACAAATTGTGTCAGAACTCGGTCAAAAATTGATATTTTTCAAAGATTCAAAGTTCATTACAATGGGAAAACCCATAGGTATCGATCCGTGTGCCTTGAAGCCCGTTATTACCTGTCAAGAACATTGAAAAAATGGTCAAAGTTGCGTTTTCCCACTATTTTGGACCACTTTATAGTAATTCATTAATTTTTTTTCTTTTAATAGTTTTTTATCCCATTTTTGTTTTAAATGGGATCATGAGATGTCTCGAATGATCTCAGAAATTTTTTTCCAGTATCTTCCTGGTGTTGATTTGTTTATTTGCATTTTTCATACGTTTTCGGAGTTCTAGAAATCTTTGAAACAAGCAATAATAAAAAACTCATATTTCATTATATTGTTATTCAATGCACACCATTTTAAAGCTTAGAGTGTCTACTTTTCGAATGTATTTTTTTTTTAATTGCTCCATTTTCCAAAAATCGGGAAAATTGATCACACCGGGGAAAACCGGACTTTTTTTAAATACTTCTTGTTCCCCGCTGTTCATTTTTTGAACATTAATACCCAGACCGAAGTGAAGCTGATATTCTCACCTTTCCATTTCTATCAATTGATCCCCGTGTGTGAGCGTGGTTCTTAACTGTTTGTTAGAAATATCTCCCCCATTTTTACGCTCTCCGCCTGAGATCCACGATATTCCATCATAACCTAACCACGTGTACCCACGCGACACGCGCTCACCTTAATCATCTGCTTTTGTTGGTATAAAATCTCTGTTGTTTTTGGAGTCGTTATTGTCGGTATTATTGATAGTATTTTAGAAAAATATTGATAGTATTTTATCATTATCAATTAAGTTGTTGAAAAATTCGACGTCATTCTTGAATTTTCAAGAATTTGTTTTTCGTTTGTGGGGAACAGAAAAGGTTTGGTTGATTTAAAATAAAGTCTGTAAATTTGTTGTAATTCTTATTACATTTCACTAATATATTTTTGTAAAGCTCTTGTTGCAGCAATGGAAGCGGACTCCGTTCCAAAATGTTTCCTTTGTGCCCAGGAAGTTTTTTTTTTCCTTAAGGGTTTTGGCTTTGGTAATTATATCCATTTGCCACAGATAAGTATTAATTCACCGAAATTGAAATAAAGAAAATTTGAAATAATTTAAATTAATATTATATATCTAATTGTATGATTCGTAGAAAATTTACTAATAAATCAAATATGATTTTATTTTGAGTACTTAGAAGATGAGTTAAATTTATGGGATATTGTATGTTTTTGTTACGTAATTCTAAAATTAGATCGAAACAGTGGTGCTGATGATTTGAGCTAGCGAAAAAAATATGATTTAGGTCCGCAACCGTCTCTTGTTGCAGCAATGGAAGCGGACTCCGTTCCAAAATGTTTTCTTTGTGCCCAGAAAGTTGTGGATGACGTTACAAATGTCACACGAGGCTTAGAAAAATTAATTGATGTGAGCAAGGAAAGGGACGATAATTTTCACCTATTCATAAAGAAGCAATCCTCTATAAAGATGCACGAAACCTGCAGGAGACGCTACATTATTAAACGAAGAGGCGAGTTTCCGTACAACGACTTTTTCAAGCACTCCTCAAAGAGCCTTTCTTATAAGACTGTATTCAAGAACGGAGAAACTGTTTTGATGTCGATTTACAAATCTCCAGAAGAGGTGACAACTCCCAAGGTCCTCCGATACAAGACTTTCAACAACTTGGCCCAAAACAAGACTGCGATAAAACTAGAATGCTTACCCCCTACCCAAGAAGCTGCTAGGCAGCACTTTAATAGGGTATATTAACAAGTGCAGAAATGGCTTGGAAACGAACTGCCACCAGAGGAATGGGGATGGAAACGTGCAGAAGATGTACAGCAACCGGTGCAGACCACAAGGAATCCGCCCTCCTCGGAACTTTTAAAGATTATTTTTTGTCAGTGCAAGACAGGCTGCAAGAAGAATTGTTCATGTTTGAAAGCCGGACTGAAATGCTCGCCTGTCTGTGGTTCGTGTCAGTCGACACAGTGTTTTAATTATAACAAAAATGAAGGTATTTTCCCGGAAGAATTAGAGATCGAGACCCAGAAGGAGTTGAAGGGGAGAAGGATGAAATAGCTGTCGAGACAGCAACACAGGGGTTGGAAAAACAGGGGAAGGGACGCGTGGAGGAGGGAAAGGAATAGAGCAAGAGCAAGACGATGAAGAGTATGATTCTGATGACATTGAATGGTTTAACGAATGATAAATTATAAGCATTGCTATGTATTTCGTATTTTCAACATGTTTTTCATAATAAAAGAAATTTTTCAGAAACTTTCTTATTTTTCTGATATCCTGGACCTATACTGTTCCCATAGAAGTTGGCGAAAATTTTGCAAAAGACGCAGAAAATATAAAGGGTCTTCTCGGGTCAATATTCATCACACTCTAAAACTAGTAACCCACTATTAGGCAAAGCGCCGGGATTTGCAACGCAAATTACACAGAACATTCGGCAATATAGATGAGATACCCCAAGCGCTACTTTACAGAAAAAATTCCGTAGAATCTGCCAATAATTGTCGAAAGATCGATTGGTGCCCGAATTTCCATTCATAGGCCCAAAATTTAGTGAGCAGAGGTATGCCGCTGGCGCCATCTACAATTGGTCTCCAAAGTCCAAGTCATGAAAATCAATGTATTCCCAATTCCCTCGAGCGGAAATTCAGTGAGAAACTAACATTTCTATTCAGTGCAAAAATTCGGGCTTTTTCAAAGGCCGTTTTTTGCAAAAAATATTCGTCTTGCGAAAAAAATGGTAGGGACCATTTTTGTAGATAATGATATGATCTTCATTTTTTATCTAAACAAAAATTGTCGAATTTGTATATTTTGGCAGATATAAGCGGGAAACAATTTTTTCGGACTTTAGGAGCCATTTTGAGCCCTTTCCGACCCAGAAGTGTTGGTAAAAGTTTTCGCCCTTGAAAACAACCGTCAAGACCTAAGAATTGAGCCAC